TGCTTCTTCCTGGGACATGTCAGTATGGTGTTTGAGAGCTATGTTTTCAGTCATTCTTTCACTAGTTGCCATCATCTCACTAGAGAACTGAGAATAGAAGACTCATAGCCTAACCTTGTGTACAGCTGGGAGGATATGTGATAAAAGGCAAGCCTTTTTTTTTTTTTTTTTTTTTTACAGCAAATGAATGTACTCCACCACATTTACACTCTCCTTAGTAGTCTCATTAGCAAGTGAAGCTCTTACTCCAAATAGGTTGCTAATATTTGAAACATCTTATGACTTGAATTTATAACTGCTTCTTCCCCCTTCGCCAAATGAGAAAGTTGCACTATTTAAAAATCACACCTAAAATACTTACTCAGCAAACCTACTGCACTTAAGTGGGTAGGACTCAGATCTGAATGAGTATTGACTGTTTCCAAATACCAAATTCCCTCAAAGAGATGATTTGCTGCCACTGAGTAAACTTAAAAAGATTCATCGAAAGCTCAGAAGGCCACCCAAAGGTGGAGGCCTATACATGTTTTGAGCACAGGACAGTCCCCAGAAAATGGTGAAACCTCATAACGTTACAGGTAAACTTTTAATGTAAAATAACAGGGGCACCTAGCTGGCTCAGTTGGAAGGGCCTGCTACTCTTGATCTTGGGGTTGTAAGTTCAAGCTCTATGTTGGGTGTAGAGCTTACTTAAAAATAAAATCATAAAAAAAAGAGAATAAAGTAACAGCCTTGACAGTTATTTGAAAGGTTTTCCCAAAAAAAATTTATTTTCATAAATTAACACACATAACAGTGGGAATTTAGAGTCACAAACTACCAAACAGAAAAAGAACTGCAGGGGCATCATGTATGCCAATGTTACCAAAAATGTACAAATTTCACTGAACTATATTGACCATGATAATATATAAACACTTCAGGCAGCTATTTACTGGCCCAGACCAGCCCAAGGAGATGCTGAGGCCTCTCACCAAGAATTCAAATCCAACTCAGCACCAGGGAGGGGCTCGTGAAGACACACAATGAATAAGCATCAAATCTGAGAATATGCTGTGCTAGATGGTGGGCTATATGGGGACCCTTACTTTATAATCAAATTAGCGTCTGCTGCTCAATTTGTGGCTAGATGATATCAAACTTTGATTTTTGTAAAATTAACTCTTCCTCTGCAGCCAGCTTTTTGTATCAAGAAGTGCAGTTGTGGTAAGGAGCCCTTCTTTTGCATCAATCCAGGAAAGGCTACTCCCTACCTCTGGCCAATTATCTAGACTTTGGATACAGCCACCCAACAATGTGGTGCTTAAGAGGTCCTTTCCATGATACCAGGGGAAAAGCTTCCAAAACAAAACAAAAACAAAACAAGGGAATTAAAAGAAAGCACCAACTGCATACTTCTCCCTCAGGTAATGGGAGAAAAGCATCACTGACTAAAAGTTGGTCTTTCACGGATCTCCATGTACGTGGTATTAGGAGATGGAATCCCAGCCTGGGGACCAAGTGCCGACTGTGCTTTCCATCAGGCTGCACCAGAGCCTTGGTGCTGCCGCCCTATGCTGCACACCCTATGCTGCTCTTGGTCTGGTGGGCAGGGAGTGAGCCCTGCTGGGGGAGGGATCGTGCCCAGATGGTAGGATCTGGAATTTACCTCAGGTTGGCTCTGGCACCCGCACAAAAGACCCTTTCAGGCAAAACTGTGACAAAATGTCATGATTTTCACAGCTCTTAAAGGAGCGCTGAGTTTTGGGATTCACAGCATGAGTTTCTAAGCTCTTCAGGCTCCACGTAAGGCAAATGCTACATGTCTTTCCACTGTACCTCCCTCAGCTGTAGCTCTTAGAGTAAGGTCAGTAAGAAAAAGTGGACATAATCTGTTTTAATAGGTGTGATGAGGTACATTTAAACTAATGAAGAAATGAAACTGGAAAGGTGACCAAAAGAGGAGAAAGGGGGCAGGAAGCAGATGGGGGCAAATATAGCTATAACTGAAAGATGGAAAAAAAAAAAAACATAGTTGAAATTTCAGTGAAAAGCTGATAGGCAGAACCCTGATTGGACCTGAGATTTCTCCTCTCTTTCCCATATTAAAAGCACTAAGCCTCTGGAGTTGAATTATAGTTGAGTAAATCATAGTTAACTGTAACTTCCCACCATTTGGGGTGGGAAGTCCCCATACTCAGAAACTACCAACCCCCACCCCAGAAAGAGACCTCCTGTAGCTCTGGGCAACTGGTGTGCCAGCAGCCGACTAACGCCCCCACCCCCACCCCCACCCCCAATCGTGGGCAGGTTCCACAGGCTCCGAGGACCACAGATCTAGCCTTGCAGCTGGCCAGGCCAATGGTGAAAACAGATGCAAAGACAGGTGTGGCTGAGCACAACTAGAACTTGATGTATCGGTTTTAGGCAAGCAATTTCAAGTTTGCAATGGTGGCCCCTTTTTAACTTTGGAGCAGGGGAAGGCCCCGAGCCAGAGGGCAGGCCAAGAATTTCAACGATAGGCAGAGATGCCTCAGAGCTGCTTCTCTTCCACATTGCCAGGACAAGGAGGGAGCCCAAGCCTCCACTTACTCCATGCCTCCAATGTTCCAAATCATTCTTCCTGGCTCTTGCAAATACCGTGCCTATGTATAAGGGCAAACTTGAAATTATATCTCTGTAATGGTGGTGATGCCACAGCTGTGCCCGTTCAACTTCAGTCTGCTGGATGACATGGGTTGTTGCCGCATTGCTGACTCGTCTACACCAGCAACGGACCTGGCAAACAGGGCTCTGCTGAGTTGCTGGGAGTTTGCAAGCTGTCCAGCAGCACTCCCTAAAAATGTTTGTCAGAGGGTAAAATGGAATACTAATCCCCACTCCCTTAGGCAAAAAGACAGAGAAAAGCATTTAGTGTCTAAGGACCCTGTCCCAGGATGGGAGAGGTACTGAGGTGAAACACAGGTTGTGTCTATACAGTCTGGGCAAAGCAGATGTAGAACAGCGGAATCTGGTTCACATTCCAATTCAGTGTGGAAATGCGGCTCTCTTCAATGCTATTTGGCCATGGCCTTAGAAGCCTCTATGGGTTACCAGATGTGTATTTCACTTACTAAATGCTATGTCTGAGGCAGTGGGCCTAGAAGACAGATGTGGCACTTTTATTTTCTTGCTCATGTCAGTTCTTCTGCTCCAGTGTGGCACAGACTATCAACCTGCAAAGGAAAGGCACATAGAGACCCCCTGCCCCCACCCCATCTTCCCACCCACTCACAAATGGGGAGACAAAGGAACCCTAGGAGACACACCAGGACGGCACCACACACTCTTCTCTAACAGACTGACTTTGAAAATATCTCTGGAGCTCTGACAGTCTCCTTGGGTGGCTGCTTCCTAGCAGTGGCTCCTAGGAGCATGGGAAGAGGTGACCAGTGTCCTGAGGCTGGGTGTAGCATCCCACTCACCAGCCAAGGAATGTTAATTCTCTGAACTTTTGTAATGAAAGCAAGAGAGAAAGAAAGATAAAACACAGGGGATGGTGGTGGGG